GCTTTGAATCCTCCTTATTCCATTCCACTAAATATAAGGCTAGATGCATGATCTCACTATACTACCAACTTCCCATCTGTTAAACAAATGTGTTGTGTAGAACACCAAAGGTTATACTGATACATGAATAATGTTCTAAGCTCCATGAGGACAGAGAAACTGTTATCCAAATATGCAGCATCTCCTCCTGACTAAAGTGTGGCCTGACTAAAGCGTGGCCTGACTAAAATGTGGCAGCATCTCCTCCTGACAACTTTTCGCAGACTGCTTTCACAATTGCTAAATCAAAAATTTACACGAAACACCTAAAATATGGCAGGTTCTTCTTTACTTTTTCTCTTAGGGGATATTTTTCAAGCATGGTATTTAAAGACAAACCCAATTATGGCAAGGTTTTGTACTGTTGGGGTTCACATTTTAGAACAGAGAGCAGCCTCCGAACTGAGTGGGCAGACAATGATGTCCTTTCTTTAGCCTTGGCACTGTATTCAAATTTTTCCCTGCTGCCAGCTGTGTGTTGGTTGACCTGCACTAACCAGTACAGTCCCCATGAATTGCATATCATTATGTATATCTCAAAATTAATTAATTAAAACAAAATAAAATTAAAAATAATCCCTCAGTCCTACAGCTTTATGTAACCTGACTTCTGGACTCGTGCTCTATGGCCCCCCTAATAAAGAGTTCAGGCATAGGACATCTCCATCATGGCACAAAGTTCTACTACAGAGCACTGGCTTTGACAATCTATTTAACATTTCCTTAGGCCAGTTTCATTACCTGTAAATGAAGATGAACTAACACCCCCTTCTGCAGCATTGACCCCTCCATCCCACAAAACTGAGGAGTGCTCATATGACTAGTATTGCCCAAAGGGATAAGCAAAGTGACAGGCGTAATTTCTGAGCAGTAGATGTGACATTGGCCTGTGCTTTGCCAAGTTCTGTCATCTCTCTGCTGTAACATCTATAGTGTTCTCATAGAAATTTCTCAGCCAGCCTGCATCCTGGGATGAAGTGAATCAGAGCCACAGCCAATTCAACCAGATATGTGAATGGTGAAAAAGTAAGAAATAGACATTTGTTGTTGTAAGCCACAGAGATTTCTGTCGATTTCTTACTGCAGCCAAGCCTAGCTAGTACCGACTGCTCTAGGAATCACACGTGAGTGTGGGGAGCTGCAGTAACAAAAATTACATGTAATTTGTTTAGATGCAATACATTGGACATTTAGTAGACTATGGAAATTGCAAACATTTTTATTGTATTCATTGTCAAATATTTAATTAAACCATCACCATAATAAACATTAAAACAGAGATGAGAGAGGGTAGATAATTTTTCCAACTCTAGATATAGAAGTTACAAAACTGATTAGGAGCATAGGTTAATTCTTCTTGTGGAATTTTTACCACTTATTTACTTTAAGTGATAATCTTATAAATAATTTTCTGTTCTTGTTTTTGATTTATTCAAACAGAAGAAAGCCACAAGAAAGATAACCCACATACATAGAGAATAGTAGAATGGTAAAAGCTAATTAATTGCAAGCACAAACTCTTAAAGATAAATGCAAAATATCTGAATTATACACTTCACTGTCCAAAAGGTTTGCAAATGTTTCTCTGAGTACTCCAGGGCCCAGAAGTGTATTAATCAGTACTCCTGGTGTCCACTTTCTTGAGACCTTGTTCACATTTGTATTTTTTTGTTGTTGTTGTTCTTGTTACTTACTTGCCCTACAGGTTGTGTTTCTTAAATATATTTTAAATTCATTCTCAGTCTTGTGATCTTTCCAGGTGCTTTCTTCCTATGAACCCTCATCACTTCCCATGTCCTGCCAGTCTCTCCCACTCCTTCCCTCTTGTCATCTGTAGTGGCCTCTCACAGTTCCTGCCCTTCTGGGAACTGCTGTGCTCTTTCCAGCTCAGAGCCCTGTTATCACTTTCTTGTACTAAAATAATTCTCCTTCTATTTGTCATTGTGATCTCCACCTCCACTATTCCAAGGCTCCAAAGCCCCAAGGAATAGTGTCTTCTTAAAAGATTTCCTAAGAAGCTGCAAGTAATGACAGTATCTAAAGCCACCCTTTCTGCTATGGCAATGTTATATTCAACCTGGTATTGACTCTTGGTAAGTTTTCAGTTTAAGTTTATTAGGTGCTCAAATGTTAAAATTCCAGAGACACAGAGCAGAATGGAGGCTATCAGGAGTTAAAATTGGGAGGAAATGGGAACTTTCAGGTCCACAGGTGTGAAATTCTAGTTATGCAAATATATGTTCTAAAGATCTGCTGTGTAATACATATCTAAATATTATTAAAAAAATAAAAATATAAAAATAATTATGTTACCAAGGTTTACTAGTAATATAATTTTATATTTGTCTCTGCTAAATAGACTAAGATGTAAGGATTTGTAAACTACAAACCCAACCAAAACCAAAATATTCCATATATATATAATAATTATTATTTTTTAAGACAGGGTTTCACTGTGTTGGTCAGGCTGGTCTTGAACTCCCAACCTCAGGAGATCCACCCACCTTGGCCTCCAAAGTGCTTGGATTACAGGTGTGAGCCACCATGCCTGGCCAATATAATTTTTAAATTAGTAAGACTAATTTGATATTGCTAGTTTAATAAAATAGCTGTATCTTCTAAATTATAGTCAAAATTCTCATTTTTTTCACTTTAAATATTTGACTTAAACATCTGTATGAATAATATACAGAGTATTAATATTACTAACAAAAAGATGATCAAGAAAACTCAAAATCTTTTTCTTGTATCTCAGTTTTAATAATTAATCTAAATAAACCTAAAAAATACGTATATACAAGATAAACACATTCTATAATTTTTGTATAATTTTAAATCTTGTAAATAATAGATCATTAAAAATCTGTTATTTAAAATTAAAAATGTTTTAAAAATTATTTTGAAAATTTGTAAAATAGTTCTCATCTATAAAATATGAATATCTGAGAGACTATTTAAAATTTTTTACATCTTATGTTTTCAATAAAATTTACGGTTAATAAAACTTTAAAAAATTAGGCCAAGTGTAGTGGCTCATGCCTGTAATCCAAGCACTTTGGAGGCCAAGGCGGGCAGATCACCTGAGGTCGGGAGTTCAAGAACAGCCTGACCAACATGGTGAAACCCCATCTTTAAAGAAAAAAAAAAATTAAAAATTTGAATTAATATATAATTCCATGTGTAAAGTAAGCCAAAAAAAGTTTTAATTTTTAAAAATGTGAGAGTCATAAAATATATAGTTTATTAAAATAATTTTGCCAAAATCAGAGATTATTTATGGGTTAATTACAAAACAAATTGGAGAGATCAAAAGAATTATAAACATAGATACATTTTTGTAAAAAAAAAGTTAAAACAGCCAGGCACAGTGGCTCATGCCCATAATCCCAGCATATTAGAAGGCCAAGGTAGATGGATCACATAAGGCCAGGAGTTCAAGAACAGCTTAGTCATACTGGTGAATTCCTATCTGTACTATAAATACAACAATTAGCCAGCACAGTGGTGAATGTCTGTAATCCCAGCTATTCAGGAGGCTGACTCAGGATAATCACTGGAACCTGGGTGATGGAGGTTGCAGTGAGCTGAGTGACAGCCTGGGCAACAGAGTGAGAGTCTGTCTTAGAAAAACAACAACAAACAAAAAACAAAAACAAAAAGAACAAGAAAACTTTAAAATATAATTTTATATTGAAAAATCTTAGGTAATTTTGTCTTAATTATTTTTAAAACACAAATTAAAATGTCCAAACATAATGTTAGTCTATATAAATTACATTAAAATAAAATTTAAAAGTATTTAATAAATAATATATAATTAAATGGACTATAAACTTTAAAAATAACAGTATTTCTATGAATTAAATTTTAATATTGAAAACACACTAATATAAAGCTAAAGATTGTACTTATGTCAAAAAGTTTCTTTAAATATTAATTTACTCTGAATGAAAATTTTAAAAGTTGATATTTAACTTTAACATCTATTTCTCCCTAAAATTTCTCAAAATTATATCTCAAAAGTTCAAATTTGGTTAACCTTTCTACACAAAATTTACAGACTTTGATTTACTGCCTTTTAAAAAGATGTAATTTTTACTTCACTGAGATAACTTTTTCATTTAAGTGATTTGAAAACTGCTATAACGTTTTTCTCCACTTCTAATTCTACTCTTATGGCCTAATGCTAAAACATTTGTTTTAAAAATATTGAAAAAAAATTCAATATAACTCAATTTTAAACTCTTAACTCTTCCTAATATTTCTAAAGCATTCAGTATAAACAAGATGTTTCTTATGAGAGTTATATATGTCCAGTATCAAAATACTAATTTTCTTATTTTCATACTTTAAAATATAACATTCATTTGTATCCCTAGATACACTTTTCCTATATCGAATTAAATACGTATATTCTTTTTATAAGATTTAACTTCCAAGTTATATAAAATAATTCCAATAAAAACAAAGCAAAACAATTAAACTACATACAATTTTTATTTAGCCTTTTGAATAATTGACCTAGGCTGGGCAGGGTGTCTCACACTTGTAATCCCAGCACTTTGGGAAGATGAGACGGGCAGATCACCTGAGGTCAAGAGTTTGATACCAGCCTGGCCAACACAGTGAAACCCCATCTTTACAAAAAATACAAAAATTAGCCAAGCATGGTGTTGTGAACCTGCAATCCCCGCTACCCAGGAGACTGAGGCAGGAGAATCGCTGGAACCCAGGAGGCAGAGAATGCAGTGAGCCGAGATCATGCCACTGCTCTCCAGCCTGGGTGACAGAGCAAGACTCCCTCTCAAAAAAAAAAAAAAAAATGACCTATAAAACAAACTTTTCACATTTTATCAAGCAAATTCTCATATCGTCTTTCTGAAATTTTAATTACTAGAAAAACTAATCCTAAAATGGGTTAAGATATTAACATCCACGCAACTTTCTATTATACTTTTCAGTGCTGTTGTTGGATCCATGGGGTTAACAGACACTGCTGGCTTCTCGGCTCAGGCTACAATCTTCATAGGCACCTGACTAATCGGACAACCCGGGAAGAGGATGACGCTGACCACCACTGTGAGGCAGACCAGGGTTGTGGGATCAGCTTTGTGTAACTCACATGACAAGGATAGAGGAGAATGAGGCAAAAACTTCCCAGATGATCCGTGCTGTCTCCACTTCCCTCTCATTGGCCTGACCCACAGTTCAGAAGGGGCTTTCCTAACCCTTCCTTAAGAGCTTCCACCTTTTCAGACATAATTATTATTATTGTTGTAATTAATGTTACCATTTACCTATGAGAATGAGCTGTCTGCATGTCCCCCTGTCTCTACCCATAGAAAATGTTCCATTGAGTAGCAGTATATTTCTTGGGCATATTTTGAAGCATGAAAGTTTGTACATGTCTGGTTTCTACCACTCACCTGATGGGATTTTAGTTTCCAGGTTAGAGATACATTCACAGATGCATTCATAGCACTGACTTCATCCTCAGATCCTCTGTTACCTTGATTTACCAGTGACACTGGTGAGCAGCCCACGCAAAGCTGGACACTGAATGTCTTCCTAAAGATACAAGACCTCTTAAAACTTCATGTTACTAATTTCAACTTGTCATCTTAATGATTAATGCAGCTATTGCTAAGTTGATCTTAACATCAAGATTCCTTTAAGCAAAGAGCAATTCAAGGCAGTATTGCACTTCTCCAAGCTTAATGCTTTAACACTGCTTATTAATAGGTCAGGTAAAAAAGGGAAGGCTGCATTCTAGTAAAGACCACATAATTCAATCACATACTCTATGTTTACTAGCAGTCGAAGAGCTAAAATTGAAGCTGTAATACTGTAAACCTTTCTCTGCTCAGCCCATAAATACAGTAAGTGACTTGGCTTACTCAGTTTATTTATTACAAAAATATTAAAACAGCTTTAATTAAATCTAATTTCAAGCCCACAGCTCAAACAAACTTACAAATGATAAAATCACTGCTTATCCAAGACAGAAAGATTAGAGAGAGAAATAGAAAAAAAAAATCAGTAAGGAGAAAGAGAAAGAGTAAGGAAGGCAAAGAGAGAAAGAAAGGAACAGAAAGTAAGACAAAAAGGAGAGATAAGTAAAGAACGAAATATTAACAAAGTTATCAAATTGAACCTTTAATAAGAAGGTTATAAAATGAAAAAAGTTAAGTATGTCTAAGTTTGTCAGTGAATGCTGTTAAAACTGTTGTAGAAGGGAATTTATTACGCAAGTAGGTTGTATGAATTTTGCTTTACAGTCTAAGCAGGTTTTAAAATATTTTAAAAGTAGTTCTGTGTGTGAACATATTGGTTAAAAGTTAAGGAAGTGTCATCTGGTTTTTCTGTAAACTGGCAACAAGTTTTTCTTAAAGCTTTAATCTGCTATTTTACAAAGATTATAAAATGTCTCTTAGCACAGGCATCAACACTAGACTTTCCAGTACACTAGCACCATCAAAGAAACTTTGATGAGGATACCTTCATCCAAAAATGGAAAGAAGAAAAACTCAAGCCAGCCTAGGACACAAGCCCCAGACCTCACCTAAGGAATGCTAAAGAGGGCTACCCAAAAGGGTAAGTGAATCCTACTTAAGATTTGTGTGTTTTTTATTCTTTCACTCTACCTGTAACCTGTTACTGCTGCATTCCATCAAGCTCATCTTCTAATCTACATTTTTCTGTCTTGTTACTTAAACTAACACCCTCTTCACAGCTTCTATCAATGCAACTGCTATCTGCTACATTTGAATCCCAGATTTCTCACTTTTGGCTAAGCCTCTATATGAAGCTATGAAAGGAGGTAAAAAAAGAGCCCCTCCTCTCGGAGGCAGAGTAAGCAACAACTTTCAAAGAATTAAAAGGGCATTAATTCAAGCCCCAGGCTTAGGACCTCCTAACCAACTGAACCTTTCCTTTTATACATAAATAAAAGAAAGGGGAATGGCTGTGGGAGTCCTAATGCAAATGCTTAGGTCTTGGCACCGGCTGGCAGCATATCTTTCCAAACAATTGGATTCTGTTGGCCCCATGGTTTTAAAGCAGTAACGACCACAGCCCTGCTGATTCAGGAAGCTGGCAAGCTAACTTTAGGGCAAAAATGAATTATCCAGGTGCCATACACCATAATTATCCTGCTAGACCAACACAGGACACCACTGGCTAACCCAAGGGTGACCATATACCAAGGGCTGTTATGTGACGACCGTAAAATAGTTGTGGAAACAGTAAACACCTTAAATCCAGCCACTTTATTACTGATAGAAGAGCCTGAAATACCCCCTGCAAATTATTGCATAGATGTGGTGGATGAGGTACTCTCAAGCCAGAAAGATTTAACTGACCAGTCTTTCCATGACTTAGATGTGGATTATTTCACAGATGGCAGCAGTTTTATTTCAGAAGGAATCTGCCAAGCAGGAAATGCTGTGGTAACGTGACTTTGGGCGCAGCGGAAGCTCAGTAATACAGGCATTGACCTTATCTGGATTAACATCAGCGTGAAAGGCTGCGCTAGTTGCTTAGACAAGAGCCTGTTGTTGGCAAAAGGAAAAGTAATTAATATCTATACTGACTCCAAATATGCTTTTGCTGTGCTGCATGTCCTTGAAGCCATATACAAGGAAATAGGGCTCCCTTCAACAGCAGGAAAATAAATAAAGAACAAAGAAGAAATTTTGTAGCTCTTAGATGCTGTATGGGCACCAGAAACAGTAGCTGTCTTGCACTGCAAGGGACACCAGGCAGGTGGTTCTTATGACTCTAGAAGGAATAGAAAAGCAGATAGAGAGGCTAAGCCAGCCACTCTGACAGCTCACCCACCACAGAACAAAGCTTTAGAGATGCCTCTCCTTCCAGAACCCCTATCTATGGAAAACCCAAGTTATTTTTCTAAAAATAATAATAATAGTTTTTTTTTAAAAATCCTTGTTTGCTTAGGAGGCAGGACAGTATATCAAAGGGGGTTGGTCATAATTCTTGGACGGGAGGCTAGCCATCCCTGACGTAATGTCTCATATGTTTGTAACGTAATCTCATGAAGGGACACATATGAGAAAAACTGCTTTGGAGGCTTTAATCAGATGGCATTTTCATGTGCCACATCTCACTGCTATAACTCGTGCAGTCTGTGAAAATGCCTGACTTGTACACAGAGCAGCCCAGGGCAGGGGCCAGTTTGGCCTCCAGGCATTCAAGAAGTAGGAGCAACCTCTTGTGAAAACTTGCTTGTAGATTTTACCGAAATGCCCTGGACAGGGTGTTATCTGTATATGCTTGTGTTCATTTGTACCTACTCTGGGTGGGTAGAAGCTTTTCCCACTGGCACTGAAAAGGCCAGGGAGGTAAGCAAAGTATTACTAAAAGACGTTAGTTCTAGATTTGGGCTGCCTGTGACTCTTGGGTCTGACAGTGGACCAGTATTTGTAGCTGAAGTTGTCCAGAGTCCTTCTTAGCTACTAAAAATTAATTGGAAATTACACACTGCCTGCCACCCCCAGAGCTCAGGGAAGGTGGAGTGAATAAACCAGACTTTAAAATAGCTGTTTAAAACAAATTCTGCCAAGAGTCCCATTTACGGTGGAATCGGCCCATGATCCTACTTTAGGTCAGCTGCACCCTAACCAGACAAACTAGGTGTTCACCTTACGAAATCTGGTTCAGGAAACCTCCTCCCTTTATTACCCAAATAAAAGGTAACCTCAAGGAAATAGGAGAACTAACATTAAAAACCAAATGCAGGCCTTAAGTATAGTTATATATAAAAAAGCACAACGCATGGCTGAAGCCTGAGGAGTCCTTGTCAGATGAGTAAATTTGGCCTGAAATCTTAATACGTGGTGCTACTTTAGTACTATTTGCTGTTATGCTGTTATGTTGTCGTTGTTGCTGTTCCTTGAAGGACATTCCTTGCCCATGCCTGGTGTAAAAATGTTGCTTTGTTTTAATCATGTTAGCCCTATGGCAAACTTAAAAAGGGGAGAAGCTTTGGACGGATGTCCTATGTGTACTCATACTACATGAATAGGAAACACAGAAGTTAAAACCTTTGTGTATCAAACCCATTACAGTTGTGAAGGAACTCCCCTAGGTACTTGTGTATATAACCAAACTACTTACTGTGGTCTTGGTGATGATCAGCCCTATCTCTGCTATGACCCCAAAATTCTACCTGGGACCTGATTCAAACTTCATGATAAGTCTGGAAAGGGAACTCTTTATAATTCCATTTGGTTAGCCTCCTCTCATTAGAGCAGCATGTATCTGTATTTAGATGTCTGCCAAATAATGACAACACTTCTTTTTTTTTTTTAAAGAAATGAGATCTCACTATGTTGCCCAGGCTGGAGTGCAGTGGCTATTCACAGGTGCGATCCCACTACTGATCAGCATGGGAGTTTTGACCTGCTCTGTTTCCGAACTGGGCTGGTTCACCCCTCCTTAGGCAACCTGGTGGTCCCCCGCTCCCGGGAGGTCACCATATTGATGCCGAACTTAGTGCGGACACCTGATCAGCATAGCGCACTACAGCCCAGAACTCCTGGGCTCAAGCAATCCTCCCACCTCAGCCTCCCAAGTAGCTGGGACCACAGGCACACGCCACCACGCCCACGAGAACACTTCTTAAAACTAAAGTACTAACAGTGCATCCACTCTGCTGTAGCTAGCCTCACAATGGAGCATTGTCAGCATGTGTCTCTCATTGTTGTTATATTCCTAATTCCAAAACATAAAGGAGATTATATGCATTCATTTGCACCAGTCATACTGTGTATTGGGCTAGTGATTCCCCATGCACTAAGGACATATACAAACCTCTCCATGGAATGGTATAACTATGACAGCTGTGTAGCTGGAAGCTCTGGTAGCTTCATTGAATTTGATGTTCAAAATCCAAATTCACCCAATTGAACAATAGGCACGAAATCCCAGCTGGGTACAGCGATCCTCTGGTATTTGGCTCTTGAAGACTTCCATTGTTGAAAAATACTGCATAGCTCATTGGGGAGCCACTTATACACACCCTGTAGGTGAATCGGCTTGTTTAAGGCAACAGTACTATAATAAAGCTACAGGAAAAACTTCATGGTGAGAAGAAAATAGAGAAGGTAAAGGCAGCTCTAAACCATCTCGCCCTAACCCATTTTCTAGGTTCCCTTCTTTCAGTCACTCTTGGTACCAACTAGAGGCCCTGAACTCGTGGCAAGCACCTGCAGGCCTCAATTGGATCTGTGGTCGACAAGCCTATAGGCAGTTGCCAGAAAAATGGACAGGATCTTGTGTGTTAAGTAGTGTTAAACCATCACTCTGTTACCCTTAAGACAGGGAAAGACTTTAGGAAATCCTATTTATAATAAGCCTAGAGAGGAGCAAACGAGCAATGGACTTAAGAAAAGCATATACAAATCAGTGATTGGAGAGATACAGCTTGGCCTTCAGAGAGAACAATTAACTATTATGGTCCAACTACTTGGGCCCAAGATGGATTGTGTGGATATTGTACTCCCATCTACGTGATTAATCATATCGTCAGTTTACAGGCAGTATTGGAAATTATAACTAATAAAATATTTAAAGCTTTGTATTTGTTAGCTGTACAATCTACACAAATGAGAAATACAATTTATCAAAGCAGACGAGCATTAAACTATCTGCTGGCCTCAGAAGGAGGAGTCTGTGGTAAATTTAATGTAACCAACTGTTGTATAGAAATTTATGACAACGGACAGGCAGTTATGGAAATTACTGCCAAGATGAGAAAGTTAGCCCATGTTCCAGTCCAATTCTGGAGAGGCTGGACTCCTGACTCTTTTTGCTGGATGGTTTTCATCTTTTGGTATTTAAGAATCTCATAGGGAGTATAGTACTTATATTAGGTGACTGTCCAATACTCCCTTGTTTATTGCCTTTCCTCTTTAGGATCATACAGTCCACTATAGAGGCGGTGTTGACAAGACACACCACCTCCCAAATGATGGCACTAAGTAAGTAACAGGTATTATCTGCAGAATAAAGCTCATCTCATGAAAAGGTATAAAATTATAACATTAACATAGGTCTTGTATATGGTATTTTCCTTTCCCATGTCTCCCTTCGTTACCTTTTATATCACTTAGAAAACACAGATGTGTTGGCCGGGCGTGGTGGCTCATGCCTGTAATCCCAGCACTTTGGGAAGCCAAGGCAGGTGGATCATGAGGTCAAGAGGTCGAGACCATCCTGGCCAACATGGTGAAACCCCGTCTCTACTAAAAATACAAAAAAAAAAAAAAAAAAATTAGCTGGGCATGGTGGTGCGTACCTGTAGCCCCAGCTACTCGGGAGGCTGAGGCAGGAGAATTGCTTGAACCCAGGAGGCAGAGGTTGCAGCGAGCCGAGGTCACATCACTGCACCTAGCACCTGGTGACAGAGTGACACTCTGTCTCAAAAAAAAAAAAGAAAAGAAAACACAGATGTGCAAGAATGGAGCAAAGAGGCTAAGCCTTAGATATTACTTGAAAGATAACTTGCTAAGGTGTAATCTAACTCCTGTCCAGGCAAAGAGAAATGGCTTAATGGAAAAACTCTAAGTTTAACTTCTTCTGGCTTACCTGTGCGCCTCTCAGGAAAAAAAAAAAAAAAAAAAAAAGAGAGAAGCCAAAAGATTGTGCCTCCCAGGTGGAAGGGTGGTTAGTCCGTGATGGGTAAGACTCTGTGAAAGATGGGTGTGACCTAGGGCAGGCACAGCTGTGGGGAAGTCAATAGAGGCAAAGGTCAAGCCAAGAGCCATTCTGCTCTCACAGAGAAAACAAGCAGTGCTAGGAGCAGGTACACCAGCAAAGTATCTTCTCAGGCAAACAGGTGAATTTCCTTGTGGCAGGCACTGGGCTTTATCCTACTATCCTAGAATCATGTGCATCATAAAGAAGAAGGTAAAAGCTTTCTGATAACAGATTCTTTTAAAAGAAAGCATTTAAAGGGGGGAATGTGGAAGGAAAAATAAAAATGAAATCAAATAGAACAAAATATAGTTTAAATAAGCACAGTATAGATAGTAGTGAACTTTAAGTATAGGCCATTTAAGAGTGGTAAAAAGGCTAAGGAATTTAAACTCTCCCTAGTGAAGCTGAGAAGTTGGAACTGCAAGCGTTATCTTGCATTCCAGGCTAAGTTGTAAGCTGCACTTAGAAAAAAAATAGAGGCAAAGCAGACCTGGTACCACCCTCTCTCTACGTAGATAAGAGCACCAGAGCATATCTTTAACTCTGCAGCCAGCCCAAAGTTCTGCATTTCCTGTTCTTCTGATCTCCTTGGTGTCCTCCCCAACCTTTTGACTGGCTACATCTGCAAGGTTATAGAGTCAACTGACCACAAAGCCCAAGATTGTAAAACTTGATTGACTGCTTTTGTCTGAAACCTGCTACCTGCCTTGTTTTCCTTCCTCAAACCGCATAGAAGCTAAACTGCCATCTTTGTTACGGTTGGCAGCCATTTTAGGCTTGAGCATGCTGCTGGCCTGGGTGCCCGAATCAAAGTTCTCTTCGGTCTCTGTTGGTCTCTTTGCCTTCCTTGGCTGGAATTTTGCTACAACAGTGACACAACTAGGTAGGTACAAAATAGAACCTTCTCTCGTCCCTCCCAGAAATCCTGAGGAAGACATTAAGGCTGTTCACCAATGTGAGCTGGGCTCGGCTTAGCGCTTTGTCTCTCCAAAGTGTGCAACTACCGTGGATGTTAGAGAATGGGAATTCAGCGTTTCTAAATTCTAAATCACAGAGTTAAAAAAAAAGTGTCTGTGGGCTCCATACTAATAGAAATGAATTTTAGCTTCTTAGAGCTAAACTCATAAATATGCATTGATACAGTGATGTGAAAATTAGATGAAAAGAACTTTATACTGTTTTATTGTATTCAAAAGGGAATAACTTTAGGGCCAGCAAAGAATTGAAAATGACTGACTTTTAAGAACTGGGCAGAGTAGTCAGGCATCGATTCTGACCTCAACATCTCTCCGTGGGTGCTGGCTCTCAGTTCTGATCTAAGCCCCTTCATGGGAGAGAAAACACTTCAAGCAGAGCTGGGGGCCAGACAGCCAGGCACTTCAAGGAAGTGCCAGGAATCACATGATCTTCTCCCAAGTCCCCAGGGCACTCATTTCTTGGGAACCACAGCTGGCTTTCTGTTTGTTAAGTCCCCCTTGAAGCCAAATTTGTAGTTAAGCACTCAGTTATTCAAAACTGATTACTGTTTGCACATCCAAAAGCAGCTGTAGAAACCTGAGGTGGGATCCATGCTCCTCAGATGTGGGGCTGTCTTCTGGGTTTGTGGACTCCTTGTCCTCCCAGATACCATCCGCTGTTTGTCTGGATCTTCTAGGGGAGTTTCTAGATTTATTCTGCTTACACTACATAACATTTTATGACCTGGATAACTTCATTGAACAGACAAAAAGTGTTCTGTGTATTCCCTGAGACTCAGTCCACTCTTCTTGAGGGTTTATTGTGTGACACTGGATCCCATGAAATGTGCTGTGAGCTGGCACACTGAAGAGTTCAGGACCCCAGAGATGACAAAGACTCCATGTCTGCAACTCACTGTCCAATCCTGGCATATCATTCACAGCACAAATGCTCCCAATCCAACTACGGATGGAGTGAAGTTTGAGCACAGCAACCTAGCAAAGTTTTTCAGCCTCCCCTCTGTGCCTCAGCACCGCAGGCAGCTGACTCTTAACAATATGAGAATTCAGTCTTTATGTGTTTAAACCAAACTTCTGAAATCCCACATGAGTGGATTAGGCTCTGCTTGCCCAACTGCAGTGGCTAATTGGTTATTAAAATGATGAAAATATTGACATAAACCAGCTCTGTAGAATCATAAAATAATAGATTTTGAACATCAGGTTAGATGGATGGATAACCAGCCACAATAAGAGTGTCCCTGGATGTTTGATAACTAAGGTTTTTCAATACAAAACAGTCGCCTAGGCAGAGTGGGAGCTGTGTTCTCAGATTGGAGTCTTCACATGGCTCCCTGTTTTTTTTGATCTTGAGAAGAATTGGTAAGAAATGTTTTAATGCTTCTTCTTGTTTCTCTTTTTACAAGCTTTTCACAGATGTCAACCAGCTCAATAGAAGATGAGACCAATGACAATATCACAACACTTACCAGTATGGGCTTCTGGATGGCTGTGACAACAGACTTCAGCCTGGGCTGAGAGGTGAGTGTGTTCTACACAGCCGAGCCTGGCAAGAAACCAGGAAGAGCTTAAGCCTTGTCTCAAGCTTGTGTTTGCTCTAATTCAAACAATTCCTAAAAGAGCTTCCCTGCCAGGATTTTGATGTGATGGCTGTTCCACTCTTGCCAAGGATCATGTATCCAATGTTATCATTTTCTAGACTCAGGGAGCTGGGGAAAGTGATATCCCCAAGGCATCCTCACAAAAGCCCATCTTCCCAGATAATCTTAAGGTCTAGTCTGGTTAACCTAAAGAGGAACAACTTTCAGGAGTTACTAAAGCAGAGATTAACTTATTTTAAGAAATAATATAAAATCAACCTCATACTCTTACTTCTATGCAAGTTCTTTTCATAAATCCACTGTGGAATGCAATTATCCTTCAAGTCTTTATTGGTTAAACATTTAATTCTTCACTGCCAGCCATAGTCATAGTATTTACTTCCACTCTATGGAACTCAGTAAAAATAAACTGATGTAGATTGTGCTTCTAGGGTACATCTGACAGCTTAATTTCATACTGAGAATTGTATGCAGTTTCCAGGCATGTGCAATGCACTTGGCTCTATAGTTTAGGTGTGGTGCCTAAACTTGCTCTGTTAGGTGAGGTATAGACCTTCCAGCAAATACGTTCTTGGAGGAAAAAGTTTAGTTCTCCAGCATTTGCATTTTTAACAGGGAGATTCACTTAAAGCATGAGTTGGCACTCTCTGCCTTTGGGCACAGGCCTGTTGACAGTCTCTTACTCTGTCCTCTGAATTATGTTCTTAGGCCTCTTTGCCCAGCAGTCCAGTCCCTTGAACATAATCAGAAGGGTCAGAACATCTACAGGAGCCCTAAGCTGCCATCAGTGCTTGTGGTATTCTCTCATCCTCTCTGCCTTTCACTTCTGCAGAGAGGGAGGATACCACAGAGAGCCTCTGGGGCCACCTTGCTGGGGCTGGCATCTCATTGAGGAGACAGGCACACTGCATCATACAGTGCACAGCATCACAGAGACACCTGCTCCCACCAGATGCATGCCATGAGGACAATCACCACACCACTAGAGGCTGGAGAGACAGGCCCGCAGAGCAGCTGGAAGTTGTTCAGTGTGGGTTGTGGTGCAATTTGAATGTGCTTTCTACTCATGAATGTGGGAAGTTACAGGGCCTTGGTAGTGCTCAGGGAACAGACAGATTCCCCCCTAAATATTATTAGCCACTTTTATTACTTTAGGTATTTCCAATAGTTTTGTTTGAAATCATAGTCTCCCATGATTCAAAAATGCTGCATAAAGAGAAGAGGGTCTTCCTTTCTGTCTCAGGCCACACTGGGCACATTCTCATCCATCCTTTCCCTGAGGCCACCCAGGGCCTCCAGATTTGATTGGAAATGCAAATCCCCTCATCTTGAATTGCTCAACCCTTTTTAAATCCCCTCGTTATGGCGAGGGCATGGCTATGCACTGCCGGGCTGGCGTTATTGTCCCAGGATTACAGAGGATGAAGTGGAAGGTCAGGTGTTTTCAAAACCACTCAAGGCCTCATAGTGAGGCCCCAGCCCAGGTCTTTTCAAGTCTACTCCCCAGGGAGCAGACAGATGAGGAAAACCAAGCTGCCTTCTGTATAATGGGAATTTTCTTTCTTGGTATAGTGGGGAGCAGCGTGTTTTTATTTGGTGATTGTCAAGTCAAGATGGATGACCGTTCTCTAATTGCTTTTTTGGGGTTGGGGGAGGTAGAACTTTTGGTTTTCATTGTGTAGCAGCAGGTTTCTGGTCTCCTCTAGATAAGCACCTGAAGTGCAGGGTGACCACCTGTCTCAGAAAGCATGCCAGATCTTATGATACATACACTATTGTATATGTTATATCGATCATATAGAGATAATAACCAAGTGGGGCAGTGACTTTCTGTCATCTCCTGTGCAAACTCATGTGAGAACACACAGTGAGGGACACCTTAGAGAATGTCCCCTGGTCCTTGTACTCCTGGCAGAAGAGCCAGTCCCCACATAAGCTCTTGTGTAGGAGACTTCAACAGGCAAAGAAGGAGTCCCTAGAAGTCAGGTTGTACCAGCACCAAATCGTTCTTCCTGGCTCAGAGAATCCCATGGCTGCTCCACCCAGGGTCACTTGTCCATGCCTGTGTAATCAAAAGATCAGGGTAAACATTTTAGAATGTTGATAATTTTACTATTGTAATAAAATATGCTGCTCCGAGTGTATGACACTTGACAGTTGTGTACTGAGTGCCACTCTGCATCATCTTTTTGCGCAATACATATACCCCTGTGCTGTTTTTACTTTGAGGAAGACATATTTTTATAATTATTCACTACTACATTTAGATTTTCTGCATTAGTGGAAACCAGTGCTTAATTTATGAATCAGGGAAATCTGATGTACAAAAAAAAAAAAACACATAAGCTTTGGAGTTAGGCTGACTTAAATTCAGTTCCTGACTGTCATTGAGTAGTCACGAATCCTTGGCCATTATATTTTAATGTCCTAGATACAGTGTATTTTTGTGGGTTTTTTGTTTCTTTTTGTTTTTCTCTTTTCCAATGCACTCTCTTATTTGAAAACGCCTAGTAAATATGCATATTCCAAGAATGGCCAGTTAGGGGCAGCACTGTCACATTTTTGCTTCATGATTGGCGATCAATATCAAATAGCATGATCGGTAACTTGAAGGATACATATGTATCTGAAGTGTTGAACTAGACAGGGATGTGTTTGTATATATGTACAAGCATACATATCTATACGTTGTCAAGTTCAAAGTGTCAAGTTCAAGGCTTCCTTCATGAAACCAGATATATTGGCTGACTTTCCATTTTTAAGGTAACACTTATTTTATATTGGCAAGAGTCAAAATATGATTTAAAAATTTCTCAAACATGGGAGATTACAAAGTGTAGAATATGGTGATAACATGAAGACAGTAGAGAATCAATGTTAATATTTTGGTGTGTATCATGTTTGTTTATCTGCGTATAGACACATATGAATAAATATGTGTACACCTGTGTGTATGCCCACATAGTCTCCTATAGTTTTTGAGTGGCCTCGTGCTCTGAAAACTTATATGACTAGCTTTGTGATTTAAAATATGTGGTATTGAAAACACTTTTCCATGTCATAAAACATTGTTTTGAAACTTAGTGTTGTAACATATTCTGTCACGTGATTATCCTGTTTATATAATTTCTGTAAAAATTTCATATTATTTTCATTTTTTCTCTGTGATAACATTGTGTGGTTCAGGTACCTACATATATCCTTTGAATAAATCCCAGGAATTGGACAAAACATATATCTTTTCATATAAATTTTTAACTGTTCTCTAGAAAAATGATACCAGTTTCACTTCCATCAACAGAGAGTGGAGGTCCTCTATTACTTCCTCTCTGGCACCTTATATATAAACATGAAAATGAAGTTTCAGCCCATGAGATGAAACTAGCACAGCCAGTCTATTAAAAAGTGTACTTAGCAGTTATGTGTCTCAAGATTTCTAGTCATGTCAACTTTGTTTTTTTGTTTCGGGACCTGCCTCAAAAGAGCTCCCTTGTCCTGACTTAATCTGGAATGTGCCTTGTTCCCAAGGTTGGAGACATGAAGTCTGCCTGCTGTACCACTGCCATTTTCTCTGTCTGCTTCTGCTGAGCTCCCTGTAGACACGCACCCTCAGCCTCCCTCATTTTGTTGGTCACTAAAGAGGGAGACTTTGCACTAGCCTGCTGTGGAGGCAGGCAGTGGGGCCAGGGGGCAGCACATTGGGCATACTGCCATTGACTTCCCAGTTGATGGTCTGTGTTTTCTGCTGAGCGTCTTTTGAAAAAGGACTGTGTTGATCATGTATGACACGTGTGATACATGTGTCCTGTGTAATGCCATGTACTCCATGTCATCCCAGCACCGGGCACTCAGGAGGAGCTTATGTGTGCTTGTGAAGGAATGAATGATAATAGAAAGAATGAGAAATGAGGCCATCTCACCACTTGAATCTTAGTGTGAGGGCTTTGGAAGGAGACCCAGAGAATGTCTGGTTCACAGACATGTTTTGTACTTAGGCTTTTGCCAGTTTAATAAAGTATCAGATTTATTTGTGCTATTTGTACTTGCAGCATGCAGATAAGGACATTTCAACACACTTTTCTTGCATATTTTGTTTGAAAACATAATCAGAAGTATTCTGTGCCTGTTGTGAATGCTGTCAGTCTGCAGCCGCTGCAGTCAGTTCTGTTTGACCAGGCCATGCTTTGAACTGTTGGGCACGTATCACACAGGAACACATCATACTTTGCAAACGTATCATCTTCAGCACCTATTTGCTTTCTCAGGTCCTGACCCCACAAAGTCTACAGACACCCTCCTACTAATGATAGAGCAACCAGGGCTTCAGAAATATTAATCCATTTAAATTGCACAATACCCTAAAATTTTGGTAGTATCCTTATCCCCCTTCACAGATAAGATAGATGAAGTAGTTAAAAGTGAATACATAGGAATATAACCCATCCATAATGTCCAGATGCAAAACCTCTTGGCCTCTCCCTATTTTCTTAGATAGAATACCTAACAAACATGCAACAGGAAACTTTGTGTGCTACTCAGCCATGCGGACTGAAAATAATACCCACGAGGTGGCGCCATGGCCCCGTGTATGGAGGGGAAGACAGGCAGAGGGGCGTTCTAGAACCCCGTTAAACTCCCAGTTTCACGGAAGCTCCTTCAGGGATGATGAAGTGCTGCATGTCTGGAGAGTGTTCCCAAGCCTCTTGGCGGGTCTGCGTGGCCCTGGGATTGTTCAGAGCCAGGGAACCTGTGCTCAGCCCGGGTCTTCCCTAGAGTGCAGCCAGCCTGCACCCAACAGCGCGCTTCCAGACACCAGAGCCAGAGTCAGGATCACAGCGCTGCTTCTGCAGGCACCCCTCCCCTCCCTGCCAGGGGAGAAAAGTGAGCCACGTGACCAGCTCTCCAAATTTCAGCTCTGACAGTGGTCCCTTGTGCAGGCAGAAGCTGATGGTCTCATCCCCTGGTGCTCTGTATCCAAGCCTTGAACCAAGATGCCCCATAAACACCAGCCAAGTGCACTGGGTGGCAGAAAATCCAGAGCAGTCACCACCTCACAAGTGTGCAGCTGATGGGGGCAGATTTCCATGTTTACCCTGAGAATAGTTAGGCATTTGCCCCATGCTGCTGGAGAAGGAAGACTTGGCAGGGTCCTTCCCTGCCCAAAGTGTTTTCCTGCTGGCCTGGAGTCTGGAGTTTTTATAGTCTTTCCTTTTATAACCTGCGCTGTTTGAAAAAGTAGACAGGACATTCATGGCACTCTAAGGTGAAGAAAACGAATAATTTAGTCCCCCATTTTGCCAGCCACACTCCCAGCCAGCAGTCGGTATCTGGCCGTTGGTAGCCGGCTATGAACAAGGGCTTTGCGCTGGCCAGCAGTGACAGCGGTGTCGCCCCACTCAGCCTCCGTGGAAATCTTGCCACATGTCAGACCCAGACGCCTTTCTTAGGGGCCCCGCTTTCCCACATGGCCCAGTCTGAGCCCACCTGCCCTGAGGAGCCACAGTGGGGAGCTGCCTCCCGTGGCATATGCACACACACCGCAGATATTAGGGAACTTCCAAAATGTTTTGAGGAACGTTAAAGCACTTATCCTATAATCTTTTAATGGAGGTGATTTTCTAGGACATTTTAGAAGTTTGAATGATCAAATAAACTGTGACATCTAACCGGAAACATACACATAATGAATCTAAAGTTTTGTTATTGAACTTAGTAAGATCTTATTTTTCCAGATAAGATCTGAATTTTTGCCGGGCGCGGTGGCTCACGCGTAATCCCAGCACTTTGGGAGGCCAAGGTGGGTGGATCACGAGGTCAAGAGATCCAGACCATCCTGATTAACATGGTGAAACCCTGTCTCTACTAAAATACAAAAGTTAGCTGAGTGTGGTGGCGCATGCCTGTAGTCCCAGCTACTCGGGAGGCTGAGGCAGGAGAATTGCTTGAACTGGGAGGCAGAGGTTGCAGTGAGCTGAGATTGCACCACTGCACTCCAGCCTGGCACCTGACAACAAAGCAAGACTCTGTCTCAAAAAAAAAAAAAAATCTAAATTTTTTTGCTTGCTTCAAGCGTATTAATAAGGTCCACAAACAGACTATTAAATAGAAACAGAGGAGTCATTATTGACTCCTGTTAGCATTCACATGTGGAGAAGAAAGACCACGGGGTGGAATCCTAAAAGCCCCTTCCTGCAAGAGAGGTTCGGGCAGCTTCTCTGAGCAAGTTGCTTTGTGCTGTGAGGGAGGGTGAGGCAGCACTGAGCAGTCCTAAGGAGAGGGTCATGCCCCGTGCCCTGGGCTCAGCATCTTTAGGGTAGGAGCAAGGACCAATGAGGGGACCGAAGTTCATCCTACTGGACAAGGGACCCCTAAAGGGATTTAAGCTGAGTAATCTACTGACTTGTGGGGGAAAATGGCTTGGAGCAGTCATAGGGCTGAGTGCTTAGGGGGTGGTGCCCAACATTTAGGGGTTGGTGTCCTGCATTTAGTGGGTGAGGCCCAGTGCTCAGATGGTGGTGCCATATCCAGGTGAGAGATAAAAGCAGGTGTCTCAAAATGGGGAGAAGTGGACAGACTGGACAACATTTTGCAGAAGAACTAATGAGGTTTGTTGATAGATTTGAAATGAGATCGTGGATGTGAAGTGTCTAATATGATTCCCATGTCCATCTTGCAAATGTAGTGCTTCTGTGTGACATAACAGCTTGAAGGAGTGAATGAGTGAGAAGGCTGGCCAGGCAGCAGGGTCTTCTCCAGAGGGTCAGAGAAAAGTCCAATTCCGCCTTGAGTGTGCTTTGCTTGTACAACATCTGGGAATCTAAATGAAACGACCTGACATGGACATAAATGCTAGTGGATTAGCTGGCCTATGTGTGGCTGTCAGCCACAGGGTATATGGCTGAGCCCTTCCCAGGGTGACCTGCTGCAGGGATGCAGCCCAGGCTAGGGGGTCAGGCCCTGCAGGGTCCAATGTCCTTATTGATTAAGGGTGGCAGATGCCAGCATTTTCTTACCTGGTGAGCACACCTGCATCCAGGTGCTCACCCAGCCCCTGAGGCATGTGGCTGTCTGGCGTGTGCACTGCACAAGAGTTCAAAGACCTAAGAGGGAACGGCAGAGGATAAAGAAAGACACACAGACAAACAGAGAGAGCTGGGCCAGGCAGTCCGAAAAGCTGATGATGTCAGTCTCTTTGGCCCCATCCTGCCTCAGAGTACTTTATTTTATATGTTCACAAAGCTCATAGCATAGGGAGGGTACAGTTACCCAGAACAACCTCTGGTTATAATTCTCATGCTTCAGTTAACATGCCTCAGCTAACAACTATCTTGCAGCAAAGGTCAGTGAAAGTTGGTTATCTTTCACTAGGTCCGACTGCTCTTCTCCAAGACATACACATTCCCCTATTTTGGTTTCACCTCTCTGGAGTTCACCCAAATTTCACAGCAGCCTTGCTGCTGGTCCCTCCAGAGGGGGTGGGCTACTTTGGCTCTCTACACCTCCTGCTTTACCATAAATATAAGGATAACAAAAATTGGCACAACATTAAGCATTACTATTATTAACATGTAGGGTATAGTACCTTGAAACAGACTACACAGGAATATCATGTCCAAGCTACATTTGATAGCAGGCGTTATTTTCACAATGAAGACAAGGTAGATTTACAGCATTGTGGGGTAATTGCTCAAACCTCAGGGGAGATTGCCAGCTAGGCACATCCCCCAATGTTTGCTGGCCTTACTACAACTGTGTCTGTCTTAGGTTGCTCTCCTCTTAGACTCTTACCCACCATTGACTATCCAGTCATCCCTTCAGGTCCAGCATCATGATCAATATCACTTTTAGAGGCTAATGGTCTTATAAATAATATTAGACCACATGTCACTGAGGAGCATATATACTCACATTTCATATTTCAGCTTTAGCCTGCAACTTCTTCTAGGACTGATATTCTGTGTGCCTCTTTTTTGTACAGACACCTCTAATTCTAATAACTATTTTACTGCCTGTAATTTTAAATGATGCATTTAGTTTGTAAGTTTTTACTGTCTAGATTTCTACAAATATGGACTGCTGCATATAACAAAAATGGAATAATTACACAGATAACAAGTATTATGAGCATCCAAAAGTCATGCCTCAGAATTCCAAAAGGATTAAATCCCTGTAATTGACCCAATATCTTTTTTGCTATTTTTGCAGGGTCCTCTATATCAAGGTGTGCATGTTGTATTTCATAAATTTTCTGATGTAGTTTAATTAAGTCACTGGTTAAATTCTAATAGCCTTGAGCTCCATGAAGTTGCTTTTTAACTGTTTCCCAATTTCATTCTGTATAATTTCAAATTACAGGGATCACACAGGTAGCAATATAATTACTGTGACATCTAAACCTTTGTCTTAGTCTTATCGTCTCCAGCTCATCTCCTATAAAATAGTGGCTGCCTCAAGAGCTGCCAGTCTGGCTTCTAACCTCCAATCAATATCCTCCTGAGTGGCCATAAGCTGAGAAACATTTGATGTTCATTGATTTACACAATGGGCTGTTTGAATAGTTTGAGAAAGTGAAATGGCAGCAACTGTAGAACTGGCAACAATTCCTATCAGTGTTACAATACCAAAAATCAATTCCAATGCTCTTTATGTTAAGACAACATTTTTTCCATGTGTTGCAACACTGTCAAACCCCTGTCCTCATACAATTCTTCTGTTAAATTGACAGGAATCATCACATATGTAAGCTGCTTCAACACCAATAGACTTTGTCCCTTATTATAAGTAGATACACAGGAAGTAAGATTGCAATTTATACAAGACACATGAAATTTCCCTCCATATTGAAAGTTTCCTGTTACAATCACATAAGGGCTAGGAATACAAGCCTTTAGTCCATAAATGTCATTTGTGAATATACTGAAAAAATTGACATAGTCCATGGCAACGACCAGATGCTACAGTTCCTTTTGTAAAGTCCCATGTTTTGTTGTTAGAATACTGTTGATGAACACACCGAATGACATGTCTTCTGGGTACTTGACACGATTAACTGTATTGTAAGACTAGTCATACATTGTCCAGTTTTTAGAAAGATTATGATTTACAGGGACCACCTTAGCACAGTCTTTCCACTCTGGAAAGCCTTTATACAACCTGTTTGCTCCTTCATGGAGACATACAAAGGAGGGTCAGTGGTCCATCCAGTGTAATTATAATTTCCATAATAGGGGGGTGTTCCGGAGCTCCAGCTCTTCCTGCAAGTATATGTGTGTCATTTAGTAACACAGGAACTACACGTTTTTCACCTCGGCCCCTCCTTTTTGTCTTTCAGTTTCAGCCTCCTCAAGAGGGTCACCAATTTCTGCTGGTCCGTGGCTGTGTTGAATACAGTGTTCAGGGACCCACACTGGACAACTGGCACCTTTTGTGAAAACACAAACAACCCTGCCCCCATATCATAGCAGGATCTGTTTGGAGGTCCTTCCATTGGACCCATGCCTTAGGTATTTCCCGGGTGGTAAAGTGTCTATCTGTGGGGGAATGTCCAGATTCATCACAGTTTAAAAAATTAAGGTTATACAGTGCAAGAGAAACTCCGGTAGCTGGAGTTCCCCTATAATCTCCTTTCTCTTATTTTTCAATTTGAGTTTTCATAGTGCAGTGAACATGCTCAACAATAGCTTGACCTGTTGGATTATATGGAATGCCTGTAGTATGCGTAATAGCAAAAATTGCACAAAAATTGAGCAAAAGTAGCAGAAGTATAGACAGGACCATTTTCTGTTTAAAGACAATAAGGCAGACCAAGGGTAGCAAAGGCAGCCACGCAAAAATTAATTACATGTTTAGCCACTTCCCCTGAGAGCAGTTGGGCAAAAATGAAACCAGAGTAAGTATCCACCAGCACGTGTAAGTATTGCAAACAGCCAAAAGAGGGCATATGAGTAACATCCATTTGCCACAAGACATTTGGCTTAAGACCTCTGAGATTTACAGCTAAATTTTGAACTGGGAGGAAAGTTTGGAAGGCAGAGAAAGTTTTAATAATCTGTCTAGCTTGCTCTCTGGTAAGTGAAAACTGTTTGCACAAAGCGCTAGCATTTAGATGAAATGTTGCATGGGATTGCTGTACCTGGGAAACAAGAGAACCCACTAGACGGGGTGGAGACAAGATTGTCTATAGCTGCATTGCCTTCTCTCAGGGGACCTGGAAGATTTGAATCTGATCTGATATGTCCAATAAATATAGGATACTTTTGCTGGTGGAGCTTGTGCTGCAGAATTGTAGATATTTGAAAAATCCCTTTTGAGGCAGAGGCAATGAGAACTGTTTCTAAATGTTGAAAGTCCCACCACATACTTGCTGTCTGAGTAGATATCAACTGCCTGTGAGTGATCTCTGAGCACCATGTAAATAGTATAAAGCTCAGCTTGCTGAGCAGAAATAAATGGGGTGGACTCCACCTCAGAGCTGCTTGCCATAAAATACACAGCTTGTCCTGAACAGCTGCTGTCAGTAAACACTAATTGAGCTAAAGGAATTGGCTTTGTTTGGACAATTTTAGGAAAAATGAATGGTTGTTGTTGTGCAAATGAGAGTATTTTAGATGAAGGATAATGACATGCTATCTGTCCTGTATCTGTAAAGGCTAGTCCCCCGTCCTGAGTAAATTGCCACAGCCATGATTGTTGAGTGGTGTTATATGGCACAATGACTGTATCCGGTCTCAACCAAAGATCGGATAGCATCGCTCTCTACCCTTAGCTATTAGAGAAGCAACTACTGAATAGTAAGGTGTTAAAGAGTTAGGTGGGATGTTAGCCAAATGTAACCACTCCACAGGGGAGTCTTTTTGCCACAGCAATGCAGTGGGTGTATCAGCAGTCTATAAGAAAATTAGATCTGAAGGAAATTGTGGGTTAATGTAAGTGAACTGAGCCTGAGCTATTATGGCTTCTTCCACCTGTTTAACAGCAAGTTCTGTGGGTTTAAAGTTCTAGAGAAAGTAGGGTCAGGAACACCCCACAAAATAGTAAAAAGTAGTATTAATTGGCCAGTAGTCAATTTTAGCATAGAGAGAAGCCAATTAATGTCTCCAAGGAGTTTTTGAAATCATTTCAAGTATGTCAGTCCTGGTGAATTTGCAGTCTCTGAGGAGGGATAGTGTGATCAGAAACTGTTCCTAGATACTTAAGGAGCCAATTTTTTCACTTTTTCTGGTGCCACCATCAGACCAGACTGAGTAAGGGCCAATTCCAAGTCCCCAAAAATTTGCCTTAAAGTTCATTCAGGTGAATGTGCCACAAGAATATCATCCATATAATGAATGATATATGTGCATTTATATTTTTGTCTAGTAGATTCTAAAGCAACTGCCACAAAGGACTGACATAAAGTTGGGCTGTTAGTCATTCCTTGAGGAAGTACTTGCCAACAATACTATTTAACAGGTGCTTGAAAATTTGGGGAAGGTACTGAGAATGTAAAACGTTCCTGGTTATCTGGATGTAAGGGAATCATAGAAAAGGCATCTTTAAGATCCAGAACCAAAAGATGATAATCTAGTGGAATAGCAGTTGGACTTGGTAATCCTGGTTGCAGAGCACCCATGGACTGTATTGTGGCATTAATGGCTCCTAAATCTTGTAATAATCTCCATTTGCCTGGACTAAAATTTCACCTGAACATATGCTGGACCAACATCTGCACAAAGGTGAATGAAGTCATTTAGAGTAGGCTTAGCCTTGTAAGGTTGCAAAATGGCTTGGCATGTTTTGTTGGCATTTTCAAAAACCATTTACTTTGCTAACACATTGCGGGCCTCTGGTTCAGCTATATCATCCTACTGCCTGAAGCAGGTGGGCAATAAGGTCTGCACATGGTTCCTCTGGTCCCTGGACAATTTTGCTAAGTTCCTGGGACTTTTTACCTGTGGCTGGAAGAGCCCTCCAAGCTTGTGCAGCATAAACATTTGTTTGCTGATAAGCCTCTAGAGGCATATCAGCTTGATAAGCCAAACTGATTTTGTAAGGGCTCAAAGTGTCCTCTACCCACTAACATATCCGTAGATATATTCACACCATGAGCTGAATTGCACTCAGCCTTCTCACTACACCTATCAAAGTAATCAGATTTCCATCTTAGATAATCTCCTGCATCCAAGCATGCTTTTGCAAGGTTATACCAATTTTTAGGGGCCAAGGCATCATTGGTCAAGGCATTCAAGAGAGTGATTACAAATGGGAAGTAGGTCCATAAGAGGCTAAAGCTCTTTTTAAATCTCTGAGTAATTTAAAAGACAAATGATCATGCTGTCTCAGCTTCTGTCCTGGATTATTAGAATCTTGGTGTACTAGCACGGGGCAAACCTGAAACCCCTCAGCATCCTCCCCTCCTACCATTGCCCCATGTAACACAGCGTACAGCAGGGAGATCTTAAAAGGAGTTATTTTATGTTTCTTGCATTTTTCTTGTATGAGCCCTCTGGACTTTGGGTCATCAAAGTTATGAGCTGCAAACATTTGAGACCACTGGTCCTGCTCCTCTCTAGTTATTTCTTCCTCTATTTTTTTTTGATATTCTGGGGGCAGTGGCTCTTCTGAGCCATCTCCCTCACTCTCCTTTTCAAAAGAGGGGGCAGTTTTAAGTAAGTCTTGGGGTGGCAGAGGGAAGTCCATATGTGGGGCAGAAAGCTTGGCCGCCTTGGCACTTCCACTTGTCTCCTGGACCTTAAGAGATGCTGAGATAGCCTGAATTCCCCTCAGTGTATTAGAAAGTACAGTAATACAATCCTGTTGGTCTGAATATCTTGAGGTTAAATGATAATAAAATACTGTACCAACACTATAAAGAAAATCACAGTTTATACAAAATTACTGAAGAATTGTTTTCTCTTATACTTGTCTGCCTCATGTTGGGGGTCTAAAGCTTCCCTAATCAACGACCAAATAGCAAAAGTATAAACTGGCACTGTCTGAGGTCCCTCAGCTGTGTATTTGCTATGTAACTGTTGTCCTACTGTCATCCAAGTAGCTAAATTAACCGTGCCCTGTTCTGGAAACCACAGGCAAGTCTGCACAAATTTTAGAAATTCTGTAGCTGCTCTTTATGTACACAATATTTTCTGCCCTGAAAGAGGGCAAACAGCACTTTCACATACAAAGAACTATCACTAGACAAAGAATTGCCCATGCTCAATGCCTGGTGAAAAATTTCTCAGGCCACTCGCCCTTTATACCCAGGTCTGGTAAGCATCCCCTCATCTTACTCTCACTTCTGGTTCCCATGCTCAGGTTCCTGTTCAGGCACCACGTCTCATGAGTCTTGCATCCTGCACTGTACAAGTGTTCAAAGACCTAAGAGGAAACGACAGGGGATAAAGAAAGACACACAGACAAATGCGTGTGTGCATGGTGTGTGGCATGTGGGTGTGTGTGGTGTGTGCTGTGTATGGTGTGTGTGGCATATGTGCATGTGTGATGTGTGTCTATGTATGGTCTGGCCTGTGGGTATGTTTGGTGTGTGCTGTGTTTTTGTCTGTGTATGTTGTGTGGTGTTGCAAGTGGTGTGCAATATGGTGTGGCTGTGTGCCCACCTAAATCTCATCTTGAATAATCCCCAAGTATTGTGGGTACCTGGTGGAAGGTATTTGAATCATGGGGGTGGTTTCGCCCATGCTGTTTTTGTGATAGTGAGCAAGTCTCATGAGATCTGATGGTTTTATAAGGGTCTGGCATTTCCCCTGCTTGCACTCATTCTACCCCCTGCTGTCCTGTCAAAAGATGCCTTCTGCCATGATTGCAAGCTTCCTGAGGCCTCCCCAGCCATGCAGAACTGTGAGTCACTCAATCAAACCCCTTTCCTTTATAAATTACCCCGTATCAGGTATTTTTTCATAGCAGTGTGAGAACAGACTAATACTGTGTATGTGTGAGACTGCATATGGTGTGTGACTGTGTGTTTATGTGTGTATGGTTTCTGGCATGTGGGTGTGTGTGTGTGTATGGTATGTGGTGTTTATCTGTGTGTGTTTATGTGGTGAGGCATCTGTGTGGTGTCTGGTGGTGTGTGTGTGTAGTATTTGGCGTGTGTGTGTGGTATGTGGGTGGGTTTTAATGTATTGTGGGTGTACAGTGTGTGTCTGTGTAGGTGTTCTGTGTATGGTGATTGTGGATGTGTGTGTGTGCATGTTGTGTTTGTATGGTGTTTGATGTGTGTAGTGTGACTGGATGTGTGTTGTGTGTGTATAGGGTGTGTGGTATGTGGGTGTTTTTGGTGTGTGTCTGTGTGGTGTTAATGGTGTGTACTGTGTATGGTGTTTTGTGTATCATGAGGCATGTGTGTGCATGGTGTCTGATGTATGGCATGTGTTTCTGTGTGGTGTCTCTGTGGTGTGTGGTGTGTCATGTTTGTGGTGTGTGTCATATGTATATGTGTTGTTTGTGGGGTGTGTAGCATGTGTATGGTGTGTTGCATGTGTATGGCATGACATGTATGTTGTATGCATGTGTTGTGTGTGTATGGTGTGTTGTGTGCTTATGGCATGTGTGGTGTGTATGGTATGTGTGGCCTGCATGTGTCTGTATGTGTAGGCAATGGCCTCATATGCCCAGAATGAAGTCCTTTCTGCAGTTGGAGGCAGCAGCCAGGGCCTAGGCATTAACCTGCCTCTGGTGTGTGGCTCTA